TATTGAATTATTTTTGTAAAGGTTTCAGGACAGATTATCCCTATTTTCTGATTTCATATTCCTGAATCTTCAAGTGTTTTTGTCATCACCCCCAGATTTAGAAATATTAACGATGCATTGAAATAGTAATTAACTGATCCCCCACCAAAGATTTGTATTAAGATTTCTAATAAAAGAACAGACTACAATTCATTCATTAACAAGTTGTGAAAATGTCAAAGATTTTTGGTAAATTATTAATTCTTCGAAAGCTGCTTTCCTGAACCATTTTAACACTTCTGTCAGAGCTCCTGAATCAAAGTTCGCAAATAATTGGTATATAATTCTTTACAGTATACATAAAAATAGTTAAAAGTGTCTATCCACTGTTCAACCGGTGGCTTGGCGTTACGCCATTTTTTTTTTCTACCACCGGTAAAGTTGTAGTCCGAGTTCAAAGGGTTACACAGTGGGCAGTGTTTTCAGGTTTTCATTTCAAAAACGACGCGTCCATTTTGTCGATACTCCGAGTGAAAATTTCAGATCAATATTAAGCGAATAAATGTCAAAGCTACAGTATTATTGACCAACCTTTGTTTATGAACTTTAACAGTGGTTTATACTGGTCAGTGTATATGTTGACCTGTCAGTGGGAAGGTAAGATACGCTGACCAGTCCTCGCCACGAAGCAGAGCCCATCCATCTAGAGTTCAAACCACAGTTGATATCCAACTTGAAGGCTCAGATTCATGCACGCGGCTGTTGATTCCATCAGGGTAGATTCTCCGCATTGGTCGATGATTTCCAATTAGGAAGACCTCCGATGTAAGGTCATCTCCGCACTGGTTGCATATAGAGTCCAGTCTGTTCCATTGGGCTAGATAGCTGTTAACCCCTTACAAAAAGGGATCATCCACCTCTTTGACAGTTTTATTATAATATATTGCGGCAGCAGTTTTTCCCGCGGATGACCCGAATATGAAGCTGATAGTATGTCACCAGTAGCACCCGTAGAATGAACTGAAATAAATGGGTAAGACATCGCACCAAAAATGGGTTATATTTTGCGTAAATGCTTGCAGACCCGTGCATAAACTGAACTCATTGTTATTTATAAGAAATAATATACCATATATTTGATTTGAGAGTTTGATTGAAATTTAGATTTCTCATATAAATATTAAGCTGTTTGGAAAGTTCATGTCGGCATTTGAGGGAAATTGAAAAACAAAACAAAATTATGCCATTAAATATTTATTCAAGTAAATATGAACCATTTTGTTGCACAACTTTTCATTTTTCCCCAGAATTTTGTTGGTTTATTTGTATATTTAGGCAGCAATCTTTCGTTTATGCATGTTTCATTAAAAACGACAGAGAAAATACTACGGTCAAGCTTTTATTTAATTTTTTTGTGTTCGAACAAGAGACTTCTTTTCTGGACAAAGAGTGTATAAAAATTGTCCAACTGTTTTATAGTTCCGAGCGCTTTCGGCTAAACCTTTAGCCATTATCAAGGATGATTCGATTTTTCAGCTTAATTGAGTTTGTGCATTATGTGTATGTTTTAGTGTGTAGTAGAGATGTTTTAATTTCCGAATACGGTTAGCACATTGTGGCCTTGTTCATAGTTAATATTGTTAAGAGTTGTTTTTTTTCTTATTAAATCTATTATTTTTAATCTTGTTTTACAGGTGGATGCAGTTATGTTTGTGTTTTCTACTAGTATCTTTCTAATGGATAGAGTCTGGTAAGTTTCTGTGTGTGTTTAAATGAGTTCTAATGAGGCTATGATCAGATAGGTGTAACATAAGGCGTCTGGATAAGCATGTGGTTGTGTAACCGATGTAATTATTTATGAGTCCGGTTTTTACACACTCATTGTCCAGAAAAGAAAGCTCTTGTTCGAACAAAAGAAAAAAATTAAATAAAAAGCTTAACCGTAGTAACCTGTCTGTCGTTTTTAATGATTATATATATATATATATATATATATATATATATATATATATTTGCTGCAGATCGACAAAAATGTCACTTGACATGCAAGGTGCGGTATTGCACTTACCGACATTCATTTGTAGGGTACAGCGTACCCGGATTAAAAGGAGAATTTAATACGGGATACCCTGCTCACAAAATACAACGCAAATTTCAAGAAGAAACAACACGATAAGGAACGTTTGTAGAAAATAGAACATTGTATATTTATTATCTTGTGAATAGGGTGAAAAAAAGATTAATGCTTTAGTTACTTTAAGCAAAATGTGATTTTTGACAAAAATGTGTGTTCGCTGTCTTTCAGAGTAGCAGAGTAATGTCTTTCTTTTGTTTTCGTATATGTGTAAAGGAAAAAGGGGCGATCAATTTAAGTTGAAAAAGAGAGTGTGGATGAGAAATAAAAGATAAGAGGAAAATGTACTTAGGAGTCAGTTGTAAATTTGTTGTTGTTGGCCTTTCCTACTCCACTTTTGGCTCTTAGTGTCTAGTTGAGTCAGTGATGAAATTTACTGTCAGTCTTCTGTCCTCTATGATTTCTGCGCCTTTTTCTGACTGGTGACTGACTTGAAACTGTTGTTGACTTTTTTTTTCACACTGGCTAGTTATCTTTTTTTTTGGTTTAGCAAATCGCCTCCTTTCATTGATCAGAAAATTAATTTCGCACCTTATTGCGAAATCTGTTTTTTAGTCGTTTTGATCCGATTTTGCGGGTGTGCAAATCTACTTTGTGTTTAGTCGTTTGTTGGAATGATATAGGATTTGTATCCTATACATTAAATGCTCGATGAAATTTAATGGCGACCAAACAAATGTATGCACAGGGAAATAAAGAGACAAATAGTTGATATTTAAAAAGTTTTTATTACTAGTTGATTCTGTTTCAACACATATGCTACAGGTCGGAATGAAGTACGAGAAACTAAACTGAAGTATAAGAAATATAGTTCGTTTAAAAATAAATTGATCTTCCCATGTGATCAAACAGGTTTTTTTGAAGCTTCTTTTTGAACTAAACATGCACCCCACCACACTTCCTAATATGAAATATCTCACGAAATAATGAAGATCGGTTCATTTAGGATTTCATGTCTGAAGCACCATTCGTAAGAGCTCTGATACTCTTTGCAATCAGCTATGTATCACGAAATATTAAATAATCTACGGGGCATAATTTATATAAATTGAATGAGAGTTGTTGAAGAAACCATACGCATGCGCAGACCGGACAGATTCCAAACCAAACGATTATGCATCTTTAACGAGGAAAGTAGAACCTCTTGACTTTGAGAGAGCAGCTTTGTTTAGATCAGTGCCTGGTTAAACAAACTATTGACAGAGTTGTTAACAGGAAGCTTGTATTCGTCAGAAACAAATAATTTTCTCATTTCACGCACAAATATGACCAGAGGTAGAGTGAATAAATCACTGAATAAAAAAGAAATTGGAATTAAACATTTAACTAGAAAATCTGGCGTATAAAAAAAAAATTATCAAAACCAGTTCATTCAAAAGGGGCGTAAATTTTGACTAACTGTATTTATGGCTGGTGGGTGTTTTTCTACATTCATTTCAATTACGAATAAGTTTTATAAACTTATATATTTTTTTTTTTTTTTATATGGCCACGTTCAGTTCTAAGGGATTAATATTCGACACTATTTCTTATCACTAAACGTTTTTTTTTTCGTGGATACCGACCCCCCAGTTCCTACGGCCCCGTTAAATAACGTTTGACATTTTGTAGGCAATACATTATGAAGAAAAAAAAAAAAAAAAAAAAGTGCGAAGCCAGTTTCAGATATTTTGGGTTTTATTGCAATTCTAAAAATTGCTTTTTAAAATAAAAATTGTCGAGAGAGTATTTAGTAGTTGGGGAATGTTCGTTTCTTTACGTGTCTTATATATGGCTTTCGCCTTGAGTAACGCAGAGTCAAGTACATTTAAGTGATCATGAAAAAGATGATATGGAGCTCACTTTTAAATTCCCACCCACTCCTTTTGCACTAAACGCAATTGTACTTTATCTAACACCAATCGTATAGTATCAATGACGAGAAAACAAAAAATACCTTCGAACTTTGCAAGCATAAATAATTGAAAATGGTGTACTGAAAATTAAGAAAGGCTTCAGTGAATAATGATTGCGCATGTTAGAGTGACAGACACATTGAGTGTGAGTGTGAGTGTGACAGACACATTGAGTGTGAGTGTGAGTGTGACAGACACATTGAGTGTGAGAGTGAGTGTGACAGACACATTGAGTGTGAGAGTGAGTGTGACAGACACATTGAGTGTGACAGTGACAGACACATTGAGTGTGAGAGTGAGTGTGACAGACACATTGAGTGTGACAGTGACAGACACATTGAGTGTGAGAGTGAGTGTGACAGACAGAGTGAGAGTTTTAGAAAGCATTCATTTATTCTTGCAGAAACAAATATGGCGTTGATAAAAACTCGCAAATCCCGTCCATTGATCTAAGTGAAAAGATGAAAATGACCGATTTTCTATGTCATCGACAAGACATTTATAAACAGGTCTTTAGTTTTTTTGTTTTGATCATCGATTTGTTTTTCAGCTAGAAACAAAGTTGTCAGCATCGAAACTGCCTTCGACTTTATAGTAATTCTAGTTTTCCAAAAATAAAATAACGCTGGGAACATTTGCACAAACACAAGTGATATTTGTTTTGATCCAATCAACAAGTATTCTTCGAATGAAGAACTAAAAACAAGTGAGAGTGAAGTAATCGCAGATAGAAATAGTAAATTTGGCAAATTTGGTTGTTCGTAAAATGGAAAAATATTGACCGTTTAGAAAGTTAAGCCAGTATTTAAAAGAAAATTCCAGGCATTTGCGTAACGTACCTGGACACTTCACTGTAGAGTAATGGTTAAGGAGCTAGTTCAATCGTTATTTTTGTGCCAAGTTTTACACTTACTAGAACCCACATTGCGATCATAGGTCAAGTTATGTTAATTTCTAAAGAATTAATTTTTGATCCAAAATATTTTTATTCT